CATTCCTGAACTGTGTCAAAAAGACCAAGCTAGTCAGGCAAGCTACAAGCAACACCCTCCCCATGAACTCCAAAGGGAGCTTCCAGGTTTCTCCCCCAACTCTCCATTTATTCCTAATAGCTTCAAGACAGATTTTAATGGCAGTGAACTGCAGAGGGAACAAACTTTGGCTGAAAAGACAGTGTACATTTAAAAGGGAACTACAAATCAGTGGCACAGCAATGGCCCCATTTAACAGACTGGAAGACTGAGTCCTCCTCCTGAATCCATCAGCAGGAGACGAAGGCCCAAAGAATTCAAGGTAGCACCTGTCCCCATTAAAGCCCTGCCTTTGGATCTCCCTCATCCACACGAGCCCTTCAGACAAACAAGAACAACATCATCTGGATCGATCAACTCAAACACACTCATCAGGAGCGGCTTCCAATTTCAGGCAGAGCTGGGAATTTGACTGTTGGGTTTTTTTAAAAAATAAAGACTGGCTCAGTTCGCTAGTAAGATGCGATCAAGTCCACAAAGCATCACATTTAGCAGAACGGTAACAAAATGAGATTCGTCTGTGGCAGATTCAGAAAGTCAAAGAAAGAAAGAAAAACAGTTTAACTCAGCACCGCTCATCTTTCATTATCTGCCAACATGTGACATCAGCAGTCAAAACATGCTGGGAGTTGACGCAACGTCGAAAGAGAAGCACTGCAAACAACTATCTTGTCTGGAAAGAACAACACTTGCTTTACAACGCTTTTCTAGGTCGCATGACTGATGCTGATGTATTGATTTTACTCCCAAGGATCTTTAACCTAGCAAGAAGACTGGAGGCGAATAGAAGACTAGCATGGTGGAGGGGGGAAAGGTTAAATCAGGGGGACCTGGCTTTCAGTCCACACTGAAGTCCCCGGGTCACCTTGGGGGAAAGCCATTCCCTTGCAACCTGGCTTTCTTTACAGGCTTACTACAAAGGGAAGACAGAGAAGTGCACATGCTGCTCTTGACTTCTTTCAAAAAGGACTGAGATTTTTTAGAAATGTCACCAGAGACTTTAGACCGGCTCCCTGCCTGATACAAGAACTTGCGTGAATTCAAGTCATGCGCAGAGTTAGATCAACTCTCCTGTGCCTCATTCTCATTGGTGCACGTTACACACAGGGAGGCAGTGCAAAGGGGACTTTTGCCCCAGGAGAAGAGAGGCCAGCCACTGGTCTGAACCGGGAGATATTCATCTCCGACCCGACTGAGCCTGCATAGACAGCTTTGGACAGCTCCATTCTTGGTGCCTGGGCTGCAACTGGCTCCTTTGGCATCCCCATGTCTTACAGTGGGAGTCCCCCACCTTTTTGAGCCTGGGGGCACCTTTAGACTTCTGAAACAGCGCAGTGGGCAGAGCCACAAAAGGGCTGCAACAAAATGGTTGCTGCAGAAGGCGGAGCCAGCCACAAAATGGCTACCGCAGCTCACTTTCAGTCACACAGTGAAGATCCTTGTGTCGTGGGGGCACAACCAATCAAATCTCCAATGGCCAATCAGACACCTTGTTGGGCAAAAGCTCCAACTGGTCACAATCACTTTCTAGAAACACTTGGCGGGCGCTAGGAAAGGTGTCAGCAGGTGCCGCGGCAACTACATGCACCACGTTGGAGACCCCGTCTTAGAGCCTACTCTGGTGCTGCCCCCTCCTCGTGGAATGGGCTTCCTGAGAGGGAGAGGAATCCACACCAGCCCTCAGAAAGACATCCCAGTCAGTCCTTTTTCAGAGAGAATTTGGCTAATTCTGGATTCTGGTGGTGGTTGCAGTTCTATACATCAGACTGGGGACTTGCCTTTACAGTGTTGTATTGGCTTCTCTGTAGGGGACTGGGCTTTCATTGCTAATTGCATATTTATAGTACATTTGTATGTTTTCCCTTTGTTGTGATCTGCATCGAAGAAGCGGAATACAAACGTCCAAAAAGATTGAAGCCAGCTCCAAAAGTAGCAGTATCACCTGGGCTACAAAGTCCAAAGCTGTTTCAACAAGTGGCACACCTCTAGCGGTTGAAGGCCCAGGAAAAGGACTACATGAGTCATGGCAGGGGCATTACTATGTTTAGAGAGAGAGAACGGCAGAGGGGAAAAGGCGCGTATGCAGAATTCCGATTCACTGCAGAACATCGCAAAGCCATCCTAAGCACAGTTATGCCCTTCTAAGCAAGATGACTTCAGTGGACTTCGATGGGTGCAACTCTGCTTAGGACCACACTGTTAATCTATTGTTGAGAGCCGAGTGGAAACAGCCCTGTTTTTCACTGAATCTTGTACTCGAGGGAAATAAGATACCACGGGAACAAGCTAAAATCAGGCATTTTGTTTGCCATTTAAAAGATTTTTAAAGTTTTATTCCTTTTCGTTTTCAGAGACCAAAAAAAAAAAAAGGCTTGTGTTGGTTTCCCCCGATCCCAGGGCACAGTTTCACCCATTCTATTAAGCACCATTTTTAAAAAAAAACCGTTATTGCCTGCTGCTGCCTCAGCACAAATTAGAAACAAAATTAAAATAAATGAAAACCAATAAAGGCTCAGTTAGGTGTGTGATTGTTAGGACAAGTGAGATGGTAAGAATCACAGCTCTCAAAGTGAGCGGGGCCCTTTCGCCAGGCTCCAGAAATTGTGAGGAGAAAGTAGCAGCTTGGATTACAGGGAGTGGGAATCGTCGCAGAGCTCCTGGAGTGCGCCAGCAATCATTTCTCCCCGGGGCAGAACCGCCTTTTTGCGCTCCTCCCACCAAGCACAAAGGTCGGGTTTCTCCACCAGAGGGAGCTGCTGAGCCCAAACCCACGGCACTCCCGCACAGTCACTTCTTGACAGAGGCCAGGTAGGCAAACCAGAAGAGGGCCACCAGGTTTCCAAACAGCACTCGGAACTGGGGGGAGAAGAAAACCGAGAACAGAGAGAGGAAAAACTCAGCGGGCTGCCAAAGCAGGCGATTCAGGATTACTCCAAATCAACTATCCCCCTTGACTCGAGCAGGGAGGGAGGTCCAGGGGACTCTGGGTGGCTTGTGTGGCTGAAAGGCACAAGGCTCAAGTCTCCACCTGGCCACAACACACCTTTGGCAAATGGCCAGACCTCATCCACGGTTACCATCTGTAAAGTGAGAACCAACTGCGTACACCAAAGGATCATAGGAAGAGCACAGATGAAGACTGTAAATTATTGGGGGGGGGGGCTAATAACCAGAACTTGAACGTAGACATCATCCATAAAAGATGGACTAGCTCACCTGGCAGCTCCTCTGAGGAGACGGGGTTTTCTTTTGCGGCTATCACCAGCTCCCCCTCCTACTGCAGATCCCCTCCCCCCCATTTTGCTCCCAACACAGTTCCCGAGGGTCTGCCGAACCCCAGAGACAAAATTTCGGGGAGGGGAGGGGGCTCAGTGGGTGTTTAGAGCAGAAGGGAAAGCAGGAAGGTCCCGTCCTGCAAGGTCCACGGATGGCTGGATCCACGACAGGGAAGGGGACGCAGGAGTGGGAATTGTGACAGAAGTCTATAAAGTTTCGAACAGAGTGGACAGATGGAATTTTCCTCTCTCTTCCTTCTTCTCTCGGAAGATCAGAACTCAAGTTAGCCCCATTTTTTTCAGATTGACCAAATGAAGGATTTCTTCCACCACACGAGCACGGGATTCACGAACGTTTGAGATGGCAACCGTGGCTAGTTGAGAAGACTTCCACTTCATGGAGGAGACTGGGCCCATCAACAGCTCTTAGCCATGAAACTTAAATGGAACCCTCATGTACAGAGGCAGTATATCTCTGAACAGCAGATGATGACAACAAGCGATGACCGGGGGGGGGGATGCAAAATGAAGGATTTCTTCCACCACACGAGCACGGGATTCACGAACGTTTGAGATGGCAACCGTGGCTAGTTGAGAAGACTTCCACTTCATGGAGGAGACTGGGCCCATCAACAGCTCTTAGCCATGAAACTTAAATGGAACCCTCATGTACAGAGGCAGTATATCTCTGAACAGCAGATGATGACAACAAGCAACCTCTGCTGGAAGCAGAAGGCTGAACAGATTTTTGGTCTGATTCAGCAGAATGCACGTTACTGTAACCCAGGGGGTGTCTGGAAGAAAACACGGCTTTGCATTTAGAGGAGACCCCGCTGAGCAAACCAGCAGTGGCCCTGGGCAAGTTGCAACACCCACCCACTTGCCCCCCAGTTCCCATTGTCCTGTTTGGTGTAGTGGTATTCTCTCAGCCCCACCCACCTCACAGGGTGTCTGTTGTGGGGAAGGGAAGGGGAAGGAGTTTGTAAGCCACTCTGGGACTCCAAGTGAAGGGCGGGGTATAAATCCAATCTCTTCTCTTCTTCTTCTTCTTCTGTCTTTAAAAGTAGAAATAAGA